TTTTTTAAATTGGCTCTTGGAGGATAAAGGGTGCCGGGACATGGCTTGGTGGCTGCAACCTGGACCCTTAATCTACTTTCAGTTTTGGATTGGATATTTGGTGATCTTGATGATAATGTTGCAGTGTAACAGTGTCTGTAGCTTAATACATGGTGAATGCTCCTAGTAGAGCTCACCATCAAAAGCTAACCCAAAGAGATAGACAACCCAGTAGCTAATTGATGTTGGACAAGCATGAACTTCGTATACTTGCCCTCATGTAGTGTGCTCAGCAAAGTGGGCCAAGTCCAAAGCCAACATGGCCTCAAAACAAATAAACCTGAGTGCTCTTATATCATGATAAATGGACCTTTGTAGAACTCGTCACCAAAAGCTAGCTCAAAGGGAGAAGGTGGCTAGCTAACCCACACTTACACACCATTACAGCGTAGTAACCAAATGATGTGGGATAAACAGAAACTTCGGACAATATGTTTTGAAAGAAAACCTAGGTGGTGACTATTAGATGAAGAATTAGAAGCATGCGATAGGATGTTGTTTCTTCTTATCATGATGAGATCGTTGCTTCAAGACTAAAGTAGAAGAATCGTCAGATTAACAGTTAGTCTCTTTTATTGTTTGTCTTCGATGTTCATTGCATGCTAGTTTAAGTAGAGAGCTTAAGTTGGTGCTGTTAGCGGTTTTGCGCTTGCTTGTCGAGAAAGTTCAGGAATGCACTAGATTGAATCTATACTCTGTAGTTACCATAAATTTGCTTCTGAAGGATCACTATTATTAGCCTTGAAGCTCAAGTTTTGTAGATCACCTTGTGCGAGGGTGGACAGGGTCACTGAATCTTCAAGTTTCATTGAGCTTTATTCCCTCCACTCAAACCACTCATACGAACTTGTTGAAGTGAAAACAAAAATTTCTGAACAATTTCTGTTAAAAAATCTATATTAAGTGTGCTTATCCCAATAGTCTGTAAAATATGGCCTTGTTCTAGAATGCATTTGAATACTTATAAGATTAATTGGCTTTGGATAATAGTGATTAGTGAATTACTTAGGAGTTTTTGATAGAACGGAGATTTTCCTTACAGGGGTACCATATGGTCATGCTTCTCTTTCAACAAAACAAAGTTTTGTAGCGAAAGGTATGCTATTTGACTTTTCAGTTTCTTGTCTTCACATGTGTTAGCACAAAATGGAATATTCGCCAATACTCTGAACTGTTGGGAAATGGTTATGTTTAATTGATGTAGCAGCATATGAAAGTAACTGAATATTGAGTTTTTAGTTTTGCTTGTAATGTGGTCAAACCTGGGCCTTCTTTAATGGTGATAACGTGTAAAATTTACTGTCTTTTTGCTATTGGAGAATAGTTGTTTATGTGTAAAGAAATGTTTATGTCAACATAAATGTACTGTTGAAGAAATTCGTATCATAGTATCATATGCCTGATTCAACTCACCAACTCCAAGCATTAGACCCATGAATTTAATCAGCTCTGATCACCACTGCTTATTTATTTACATTTCACTAAGTTTTATCTTCATAACTGTCCGTAAAATTCATACCCTTAAACAATCAATCCTAAAATCCTTTTTCCATTTGACGGGTAACCAACTGTTATTTCAAGTACTGAAGTTTCTTCCGAGTTACTTTGATCTGAAAGTACGTAGTTTTTTTCAGCTGAAAGTGTTTAATGGTATATGGTAGGGCAGTATTATTGTTGAATGTTGCATCTTAGGTTTAACGTGCACCAGTAATGGTGACCAGCTGGTGTGGACTTGAGAAACTACAAATCTTGTACAATGTTTAATGCTTCCTCATCAACTATTTAAGCTCATGTTTAGATTCTGGGTATCTGTGGATGATTCATTATTGCCAAAATAATCAGTTTTACTTCCTCAACTGGCATTCCTCTGAAGTAATGTCTTAATGATTTTATTGCCGTTTTACTTTTAATGAGCTACTTCTGAGGGGCAGATTTATGAAGTAATGATAAAAACAGAGAAATTACAATTTTTAACTCCCAGATTCTGTGCCAATCAGAACTGTGGCTTGAATTCTCGGACGGTGGTACTATGCGTACTCTCGCTTTATTGGTAGTTAAGAGCAGAGTATTGTAAATTGTATATTTTTCATACTTGCTGTGTAAACATAGGCTAGCTATTTAAGGTGTAGGAATTCCAATTATTAGCATTTGCAAAAACACAGATGCTTGGTCAAATTTCTTGTAGGCCTGAATTTCCGCCACACTCTATATCCCGCTTATAAGAGCAACCGGCCTCCAACCCCGGATGCAATCGTGCAGGGCCTTCAGTACTTGAAAGCATCCATTAAGGCTATGTCCATCAAAGTAATTGAGGTACGATAGTATGCTGTATTAAGATAGCCGATTGCAGATGCATGTTATTTATTTGATTCTTTTGAGAAGGTCCCAGGTGTTGAAGCTGATGATGTAATTGGGACCCTGGCCGTGAGAAGTGTCAATGGTGGATTCAAGGTATTTCCACTACCCTTTGTTGGGTAATATGTTGATGATCCAAAGAAGACATGTATAAGAAGTTTTGTTACTGTGGGTGTGTATTTGGTTTATTCATTGTAAAAAGGTAGCGAGAGTTTTTTGGAGTTTGCATGACTAGCACCACCGTTATCTCTTGAAGTTAGTTCTGGATGCTGATGCTTTGTATCCTGCATTTTGGAATTCCTGTATCAAAATTGTTATATTATAATTTGATTCAACATATAGCGACAGGTTTGGATGTTTGGTTTCTGTTGAAGTTTTGTTCCGGTTTTTGTATTGTCCTCGAGACTTGAAATCCAGTGGGTTGTACGTTGAAATTGCCCCATGAATATGTAGTTCAAAATTATATGTAAATATTGGATTATTTTCTGAGGGGTGAATGGAGTATGTTTTGTGCTTTTAGTGTGATATTTCATTTCCTTGACGAGAAGCTCTTGTTCTTACCAGCGATATTTCTATTTTTTTATTAACCCATGACTCTTGCTTGTTTAATACAGGTACGAGTTGTCTCCCCAGACAAAGACTTTTTCCAAATTCTATCTCCTTCGTTGCGTTTATTGCGGATTGCTCCTCGTGGATTTGAGTTAGTATAAGTCATAGCCCTTCTGCCCCTTTTTTAATTATCTACGCCTGCTTGATGTATAACCACCTGTCTTCAATTATATTTTTGCCGGATCATGGCTGTATGGAAATTTGCTCTTTCTAGACAAGATACTAAACAATTTCTTGGATACACATTCATTTTTTTTTTCTACTTTTCAAATTGGAATCGAGTATCATGGAAGCTCTTACAATCATTCAAGTTTCCGTTTCATTAGGCCTTATATATGATCGTACTCTATGATCGCTCTATGATTTCACAAGTGATGGTATCCATATCTTAAATAACAGGCAACCAATTGATTCAGCGATTTACTAAGGTCTTATTAAGCAGATTGATAGTACTTTTGATGATATTTTGAGATGGAATAAAGGCTGTAATGACAGTAACATGGTGGAGGAAAAGTGGGTGAAAGTGAAGAGCAAAGTAAAAGCCTTAAAGTAGTAAATTGATGCATTGGACACTAGTTCAATAAAATAATGAGTGACTGAATACTATGGACGGTTTGCTATTGCTATTGTTGTTCTTGCTTAAAATTTAATCACATGATGAAAAGTGCATACACTGCAATTTTAAAGACCACCACATTTTGAAGTAAACCTCTTTTCTGCCTATGTTTCCTAGTCCAGGACATTTTAAGATCTTATTTTACTATTTTTTGTGGTGTAATTTGATTTTTTTTTTCTATCTTATTAATGATTACAGCTTTTGATATTTTGCAAAATTGTTTTAGGATGACCTCTTTTGGGATGGAAGATTTTGCTATCAAATATGGAGACTTGGAGCCATCTCAATTTGTCGATGTAATCTCACTTGTTGGAGACAAATCTGACAATATACCAGGTCCTTTTGGTTTCCAGACTAAAACAACTACCAAGGAAAAAATATGCACAGGAGATCACTCTTACGTATATGCTTGCATTTATGTTTGTCATATGGAAGCTAATCTTTGCATTTCTTCAAGTATTGCTTTCGCTAGAAGCATAGAGATTAATTTATGCTTGTCTTTTGTAAAAGGGCGATGTTTAAGACTTAGCCTCCATTCTGAAACTTACGTTTAAGTAATTATAACTTGTAGAGTTAAATATTCAGTCAAAGTAATGTCTCCACTGTGTTTTCTGTTGTGAGCACGAACTCTGTATGTATGTGGGTTAAGGTTTCGTTTCGCTATATAAAGGATATCCATGAATTGGCAACTACAAATACATTACAATGGTTATTCTAATTTTTCCAGCGGCTTGGTCATCGTTGTGGATAGTAGTGATTGGGTAACAAGTGGTTTCTGTGAGATATTCTGATTAGGTTTTTGATAAAAAAAATTGCTAGACTTGAGTTACCTATATACCTTCCTCCCTCTTTCCCTTTTTGATTCTTGCAAGTTGTTATATATATATGTAACTCAGTTATGGTACTTGTGATGACTGGGTTTTCCTGACATTTAATGTTTCCATATTAGGCATTAATAAATGCAGCACTTTACCTTGTTCCTTTGATCAGTTATCATCAATTGTTAAAAGTTGGAATATACTGCTTTCCTGACCAAGATATTTGCTACCACTTGCTATTTACTCTGTTTTAATTTCGTGATTCAGTAAAGTTGGTGGTTCCGTCTAGAGACCTAAAGAATTTTTGCAAACTGATTTATTATTCGTAATGCAGGAGTTGAAGGGATAGGGGATATGCATGCTGTTCAACTGATTACAAAATTTGGTATGTCGATATGCAAATTTAACTAATTTTAGCAAATTTGCCAAGCCCTATTCGCAGTGATATTCAGTTTGTCAATTTCTTCGTGATTTATTTGTCCTGGCATTCCTAGTCCTAGACTCCTAGATATTAAAAGAAAAGGATTGGAGAGCTAACAGCCAGAAGCTTTTTTAAACCTCACCAAATGATGATTTTATAAAAATCTGCGCTGGAGATTTTTTTTAACCATATACTGATAGCATGAGCCTTCATGGACAAAGGGATACAATGAACAATCAAAGCATGAACTAGTCACGAAAACGTATGCGTGGGAAGCTTAATTATCGTCACATCTCTAGATTTATGCATATGAAATTTTTATAATAAAAACAAATCAGTTACTCCAGGAGTAAATCAAGGTGGGTAATGTAAAATATTCCCACTCTGCTCAAGGTGGTGTGATTACATCACATTCCACCTGGATAACGATCTATTGATGTGCTGCTATTATGGAGAAATTACTGAGAATATTACATGGGCATGTATGGGATGCAAATCAACCTGCTCTCAAGCTTTTCCGTGATACACAGCCTATTAATCTCACTTCAGTTCAATCATGTTGCTCTGAAGTTGCAGTGCCAGTGACTGGCTTCAACTTTGTCTGGTCAAACTGCTAAGCTGACTGTGTGACATGAGTATAAATTTATTTAATAAATCATTTGTTTTTCATTATGTACTAAGCTTCCCAATAAAGAATGCTAAATTTTTTTAAATTTAAAATTTGTATATTTCTTTTCCATCAAGTTTATTGTATAGTTGCTAATCTAACTCCTTTTTTTAATTTCTATGTCACTAGGGACATTGGAAAATTTGTTGGATTGTGTTGAGCAAGTTAATGAGGAGCGAATTAAAATGGTTGTTTAGTTATGGTGGAAATTTGTTTGCTTTTGTTTGTTACTTTTCTTTAATACCTTTAGTGTCTCTTGCCTTTAACCGTTGTCGTATTTCTTCCTTAGCATCAAATTTTAAGTACATATGCTAAAATTTTAACATTAGTCAACTGGAATTTGATCTGTGTTACCAACATTATCTAAAGTTGTTACACCTCTGGATTTAATGAACGAAATTCTGTATTGAACTGCTTTATTTTAGCTCACGCAGCCAATCATACTCTGGTTGTCTCATTCAGTAAAGTTATCTGAATCAATTGTTCAGAACTTCAGATTCTTCAAAATATGTGGGATAAATAACTTGCTGCCAATTATGTGAATAATGGTAGAATTTGCAATTCGTTTTTCATGTTGCGTTTTTAGGTTAAATAGTTATATCTATATCAAACATACAAATTTCTATTTAATGTACAGAATCATGTCGTATATATGCCAATTCCCAAAGTAAAAGATGAAAAGATAAAAAAAAGAGCTTCAAGTTTTCGTGAGGTTATTTGTATTCATTTGTGTAGTCTCTAACTCTGCCCTGCTCTCTCTCTCTCTCTCTCTCTCTCTCTCTCTCTCATAATCTGATTTATCTTGAATTTTTCTAACTAATACTCTCGTGTTCTGATTTTTTTTTTTCTGATTTTTCACTTCCAGACACTGATTTCAAACTCCGAGCAGGCAATTCTGAGCAAAAATCTTGTAAGATTGTCTACAATAGGAGATTCATCATTTGAAAAGTATTGATAATTCTAAATATCCAAGTACCTCAATGTAGGCTATGCTGCGTTCTGATCTTCCATTCTATATGGTTCCATTTACTACCGATGACCTGGGTTTTGTCAAACCAGAGGTGAGTTCAAACAAATTCATTTTTGTTGTTAAACTTGAGAAGCATAATCTATGTGTAACTCCTGTTTTCAAAGTACAAATATGGTCCTGTGAAAACTGGAAATCTATTTTAATTCCTTTTCATATCTGTCATTATTGCCTTGGCTGTTGTGATTCTTTTTTTCATATGTGTGTATATATATATATATAATTTTTTTCTATGGCTTTTTTTAATACTTAAACTTCTGTTTCAAAACTTGATTTTTGCGATGAAAATATGTTACCCACATTGAAGTCAGTGTTGTGTTCGAACCAAGTTTTTTCAGACACATTGACTTATTTAATTATTTTTTCATTTTGGTTTTTGTTTACTATTTTCCATGGTTTTTATTATTTCATTGAAGTTGTGATTGAGTTAACAAAAAACGAAAATACACTATTAAAAAAAAAAAAACAAAATATACTGTTCTTTCCAACTCAGTTTCTCTTCCCATTACCATCAATACGATTTGAAAATAAAATAAATCATTACCGCATGTTTTCCAACAAATGATATTATTCACATATTTCCAGTTACCAATCATTATCAATTACTATTTTACAGTTTTTCCATCACATCAACTCCAAATATTACATTATGTCCTACTCTTCACAATGCCAAAAATATTTATTTCCTGCTTATTCTATATTTTGTACATATTTTTTCATTATTACCCTCATTTAGCCAATAAATACATTACGTCTTTTCATATTCACTCTTCACATTTTCTCAAAACATTCATCTCTATCTTCATTAAATAAGGTTATTATTGACAAAAAAAATATTCTTAATTATTGTGCAACTTCTCAAAACGACATATATTAAAAATAGGAGGTAGTATATCATATCGCAACCTTAGTTTCAGGAAAAGAATGTGCAGTTGTCCGGACAGATAGCAAGCTAGATTAGAAACCAATAGAAATTTATCACATAAAGAAATAGATATAAACCTTACCCATCTTGAACAGTTGAACCTTAGAAAAGCTTAGTTTCATGATTTTTCTCACAAATAGAAGGGTACATGTGTGTACTTAATTTAATATCCACATAAAACGATTTCGGTTTCACATTTGGCTATACAAGCAGACTGCTGTCAGTGTTGTATGAAACGTTAAGGGCTTGTTTGTTTACAAAATAACACAACAAATATTCAATCTCAGAATCTAATTCAACCTCACTATCCTTAATATTATCAATATAATAAAATAATATCAATAAACTTTAATTCACTTACATCAAATTAATTTTAATCATTTTATTTTAAATATTATTATAATACAAATTTAAAATCCTACAAAATACTAACCATACTAACTTTTACAAATTTAACCTTCGTTAACCAAAAAAAAAAAAAAAAACAATCAAATACCAATATATCATCTATAACAATCACACCCTGACAAACCTCGGGTCTTCACATTGTGTAAATTATCATTGAAGTTCTATGGTAGTTTGACAGAATTACTTGAGACAATTCTTATTAAGTTTTCAGTGGTGTATTTCAGGACAATGGTGAGAAATTCACGAGCCTCTTGACTGCCACTGAAGGATTTTCAGCAGATCGTATAATTAGAAGGGCCTTCTATTTGTGGAAGAAGCTCGAAAGAAAATGACTCCCAATAACA